CTGGGAAATTTTCAGGGGACGTCGTCCGGACGACGCAAAAGCCTTTTTCTGCGGGTGGTGTGCGGCTGCGCGATGGGGGCGGCCTCTGCCCCCTTCCTCCTCTGGCCGTCGCGGGGGCTGCCAAATGGGACCCCCGAGCCCCCCGGGGAAGATATTTTTTTCTCTCTCTGCCAATCTTATCTCTCCGTGCTGTGATTGGTCGGGTTTTTCCTTCCTTTCCCTGGGCTAGGTGTAGGTATAGGGCTTCTACGGTTACCACTGCCTGCGCGGGACAGATCCCGGGGGCGGACCGCTAGATTTGGAAATCTTGTAAACACGGCAAATATCTATGCATGCCATGCACCTCTACTGCTGCAGCCTGCAGTGCTGCTACTATTCCGTTATTAGGTCCGAACAGTGGTGTGACTCAATTTTCTATTTTTAGCTGATATGTGAAGGAAAAAAAAGAATAATACAAACTCACTAAGACTAGTCACAATGGGTATGTTACTACCTCTACAATAAAGAGTATTATATGTGTGGTGTCATGCAACAATTTTTTATCTACAATAAGGAGTAATATATGTTACACTTTATGTATATGTGATGTTACTCATACTATAGTAACTAGCTATGTTATCACATGTCTCTCTTTTTTCATTAATTAATTGTCACATCATTTATTTTTTCTAGATATATGTGATGTATCATCTATGTTACTCCCACTGCGGGTAGTCTAAGCAACAATAATAAACACAAGTGACATGAGTTATTGCTACTATTACCATTGGATTTTCCCCTGGCACGTTTAATTGTTATTAATGAGCACAAAGTATATTTCAATAAAATATGCCTTTGAACACCTCATGAGTCGAGTCAGCTATAAGACTAGCCACAGTGGGAGTAACATAGGTGGTAACATCACACTTATCTAGACAAACTATATGACATGGCAAGTAATTAATGATGAAAGAGAGGCAAGTAGTAACATAACTAGTTACTAGTACTATGAGTAACATCACACATACCAATACAAGATAAGTCTATAGCCTAATAAATGAAGAGTTGCATGACACCCCACATATGTTACTACCCACTATGGAGGTAGTAACATAGAGTAGTAACATATACATGTTACTAGTCTAAGTTACTCCCCACTGTGAGTAGTCTAAGGCCCTTCCTGATGCTTCATGGTGCACACGTGCTAAGCAAGCAGCATAAGAAAAAATATGACACGCCACATCAATTAGGAGGAGAGAGAGCATTTTGGTGACCCAAGAAGAACCAATGTCAAGCACGCCAACCTAGACAAAAGACTTAAATGAAGAAAACTCATCAATGCATGAAAGGGTTTAGGTGCTAAATTATTAAATGAAGTGAGCTTAGCTACAACAGGTTAAGCAACTACTCCCTCTGTTCACGAAGTATACATATAGAAATTTTAGGACACATTATGGAGTGGAGTAAAAAGAATACTCTCTCAGGTCTTTTTTTAGTCTGCATATAAGTTTGGTTCGAAGTCAAAGTATCTATTGACCAAACTTATAGAAAAAAGTATCAAAACTCACAATGCCATCATATAAATTTGGTATTGTAGATGTTGATACTTTTTAATATAAATTTTGTCAAACTTTGCAATGCTTGACTTTGACACAAATCTAATACGCGAAGTAAAAAAGATCAGTGGGAGTACAGTGGGAAGGTGCAAGCCATCATCTCTTTCCTCTTTAATTACCCCGTCCCCAAGGAGCTAAGTGCATGTAGAAAGTGAGTAGACCATGTGTTAAATGTTATTGATCTTGATTACCGTGTGATGAGAATCATTTTTCTACTTTAAAGTGCATTAGGATAAGAATGCACTCTTTTGTGGAGAAATTTGGAATGTCAAACATACACTTATTCGTGGACCGAGGGAGTATAAATTGGGGACTTGAGTTGCTAAGCTATTTAGCGCACTTAACACCTCATCCAATAAGCACCTTCGCGTTGGAAGAGACCTAAAATATCATGTGTAAACAAAGCCAAGATGCATGAGATGCATCGGTCAAAAAGGGTATCTATTTTAGGCACTTTCATCAATGAAGTATCTTATCTTGCGTAGTAGAGGATTTCTTTGGCTAAAACTGATTGGTACAGATGCTTAAAGTGGGCCGATAAAATGCGGCCATCACTGGAGAAGGCGTAACACAATTAATGTCTTCTAGGTCGACAGATCCGTCATACTAGGGTAGGAAAACCTAGCGGTGGCAATCGATAACTTCTATGAATTCTTCATAGTTCGGGGCCAGACCATGCATACACTTTAGATCTTGCGTGTTGGATATCCCCAACCTATATTTGGCTCACCTCGAGACACCTATAACAGAGGAGGACATGTGGGCAGTAGTCAAAGCCTTGCCACCGGATAAGTGGTCGGGGCCCGATGGTTTTACCGACAAGTTTTACAAGTCTTGTTGGGGGATAATTAAGTGTGATATCATGCGAGTGGCGGATGCATTCTGGAAGGGCGACATGCATGGTTTCGGCGGCATTAGTAGGACATTGGTTGTCTTGCTACCCAAGAAGGAAGGAGCAGTGGAATCTAGCTATTATCGGTCGGACAACCTGGTTCATGGGTCGGTGAGATATGTGGCAAGGCTTTGGCAAATCGCCTCTTCACATAATTGTCGCACTTGTTGGGCACACACTAGAGTGCCTTCGTGTGTGGAAAAGCACTTCATGACAATTTTAAGCTGCTTCAGGGGACCGCTAGAAGGCTATGATACGTCTCCAACGTATCTATAATTTTTGATTGCTCCATGCTATTATATTATCTATTTTGGATGTTAATGGGCTTATTTTTACACTTTTATTATATTTTTGGGACTAACCTATTAACAGGAGGCCCAACCCAAATTGTTGTTTTTTGTGCCTATTTTAGAGTTTCGCCGAAAAGGAATATCAAACGAAGTCCAAAAAACTGAAACCTTTGGGAGCGTTATTTTTGGAACAAACGTGATCCAGGAGACTTGGAGTGGACGTCAAGCAATCAACGAGGCGACCACGAGGCAGGGGGCGCGCCCTCCACCCTCATGGGCCCCTCGTTGCTCCACCGACATACTTCTTCCTCCTATATATATCCATATACCCCGAGAACATCCAGGAGCACCACTAAACCCTATTTACACCGCCGCAACCTTCTGTACCCAAGAGATCCCATCTTGGGGCCTTTTCCGGAGCTCCGCCGGAGGGGGCATTGATCACGGAGGGCCTCTACATCAACTCCATGGCCCCTTCGATGATGTGTGAGTAGTTTACTTCGGACCTTCGGGTCCATAGCTAGTAGCTAGATGGCTTCTTCTCTCTCTTTGGATCTCAATACAAAGTTCTTCTCGATTCTCTTGGAGATCTATTCGATCTAATCTTCTTTTGCGGTGTGTTTGTTGAGATCCGATGAATTGTGGGTTTATGATCAAGTCTATCTATGAACAATATTTGAATCTTCTCTGAATTCTTTTATGTATGATTGGTTTATCTTTGCAAGTCTCTTCGAATTATCAGTTTGGTTTGGCCTGCTAGATTGATCTTTCTTGCAATGGGAGAAGTGCTTAGCTTTGGGTTCAATCTTGCGGTGCTCGATCCCAGTGACAGAAAGGGAACCGACACGTATTGTATTGTTGCCATCGAGGATAAAAATATAGGGTTTACATCATATTGCATGAGTTTATCCCTCTACATCATGTCATCTTGCTTAAGAAGTTACTTTGTTCTTATGAACTTAATACTCTAGATGCATGCTGGATAGCGGTCGATGTGTGGAGTAATAGTAGTAGATGTAGAATCGTTTTGGTCTACTTGTTTCGGACGTGATGCCTATATACATGATCATGCTTAGATATTCTCATAATTATTCGCTTTTCTATCAATTGCTCGACAGTAATTTGTTCACCCACCGTAATACTTATGCTATCTTGAGAGAAGCCACTAGTGAAACCTATGGCCCCCGGGTCTATTCTCCATCATATAAGTTTCCCATCTACTTTATTTTCCAATCTTTACTTTCAATCTATATCATAAAAATACCAAAAATATTTATCTTATTGTTATTATCTCTATCAGATCTCACTCTTGCAAGTGGCCGTGAAGGGATTGACAACCCCTTTATCGCGTTGGTTGCGAGGTTCTTATTTGTGTGTGTAGGTACGAGGTGACTCGCATGTGGTCTCCTACTGGATTGATACCTTGATTCTCAAAAACTGAGGGAAATACTTACGCTGCTCTACTGCATCACCCTTTCCTCTTCAAGGGAAAACTAACGCAGTGCTCAAGAGGTAGCAAGAAGGATTTCTGGCGCCGTTGCCGGGGAGATCTATGCCAAGTCAAGACATACCAAGTACCCATCACAACTCTTATCCTTCACATTACATTACTTGCCATTTGCCTCTCGTTTTCCTCAACCCCACTTCACCCTTGACGTTTTATTTGCTCTTTTTCTGTTCGCCTTCTTCCCGTATGTATCTTTATTTGTGTTTTCATGTGCCTTCTATTTGCTTGCATCTTTGCTTGCTAAAAATCTATTGATATGGATCCACTTAAAATTTTCTACTTGGATCATCTTCGATCCTTATGCGCTCGTGCTGAAACCCCAACTAGCCTAGTTGATGGGAAATCTTTAGATCAGCATGCTCATTTTGTGCGTCACCGTTTGTCTGAAAAAGGGAGACTCTTATGGGATCAAATAAACAGATTGCTATGTTATGCTTGGAATCTTTGTGAAATTATTGATCTTACTTGTTGCTCTAAGAACC